CAAGACAGTATTACCATCCTTATGGCTGCAGCAGGCACCCATCAGCTTGAATATACAAACGAGGAAGATCTGAGATGGTTTCAGGGACAGGATTACAGTTTCTAAGTTGGGCTGGACACTGTCAGGTTCAAACATTCATGTTTGAAGAAAGAGACCTGCGTGATAAATAACGTCCCCAGATTTTATCACAGAATTATTGCCTGTTTGGGCTTAATAGATGCTGCACACTCTGCCTCCCACTCGGTGAACAGGTCTCATCCCACCCCTCCTCTCCTCCAGTGGTTCTTGCTCGATGAGATCCCATCCTCCTCCCATCGGGCACACCTGCCTCTCTGCGCAGTGCTCACCTGCCTTTGTGCACTCACATCATGCCAGGAGAAACACTGACCAGACACCAGAACTGACCTTGGGAAACTCCACCAAGCTCCAGACCTCCCCTTCTGGCACCATCTGCCCTGCTCTCCTCTCACTCAGTTCTCACCCGTTGTTAATGATGCTTGTACTAAACTTTGCATTTTGCCTTGTTTTGGAAACCAGTTCCCAGTGAAGGAAGCAGGCAGGTTACTCTGCCATGACCTGTCCTGTGAGATAAACCCTTTATCTCATTTCCCACTCATTTTTATGACAGTAATTACTCTTTCTTCAGCATTTTTAGAGCTACATACATCTGCGAGATGACAGATTTCCAAATAAAGTTCCCTCTTGCTCTTGTGTTTGCTGTTCTTTGATCAGACCCGTTAATCCTTGCCACCAGGCTTGCCTCCCCAGTAGAGGAAATGCGAGGACTGAACTGGTGGTGTGGGACCTGGAAGGAGACAGCAAGGGGCTGAGGAAGAGGCAGGACAAGGCTGAAGGGGTTGAGCTGCGGGGAGCAAGAATGGGCATATGTCTTTGCCCGAGAGAGCTTGTTCCAGCCCAGGGGCATGGTCATCAGCTGAGACCTCCCCCAACCTGGGAGCTCTCCAGCTCAGCATCCCACTCCCTCCTTTAAACGTGGGTCCACAGAGTGGAGAACAACCTTCAGCTGCTCTCAGCTACCTTGCCAGCTGCAGGGACAAAGTCCAGTAGAGGTACTTAAGCACCTCAGATCTGCTGGTGACCCACTTTGCTCCATATCCTGCTGTACAGGGCCTCCCTTGAGGTGGGGACTCATACAAACCCACACTTTGGACAAACAGGAGCAAGGTTGCAAAGTCCTGCTCCCAGAGACTAGGCTTCCCACCTGCAGCCACCTTTGTCATGTTGGTGGACAGGCTTTATTCAGAGGGGCACTCAAGACCATGCAATGAAGGAAGTTTCCTTTGGTAGAACTTTTGCAGGAGCTGGAGCAGAAGCTCGAAGGAGCACAGTAAGTGAAAGAGGAACAAACCAGAAGGGTGCTTTACATCAGTGCTCGGGTATGGGTGAGGATGTGTCAGGACAGCAAACAGAACTGAAAAATGCACAGCTCGGTCAGCATGGCACAAGCTGTGGTGTGGGATGCCAGCAAATAAGCAGAGCAGATGCCAAATACCTGCTCATACCGCAAGCACCACTCCCCCATGCACCAAATAGAGAAGTACACCATGGAAAAACACAATCCATGACTTGACTGTCTGATATGCAATTAAATGAGTTAAAGATGATGGGAGAATTTCTTGGCTTGTGGAGTGCATGTATGAATATTTTAAGGGGTTTTATGTTTTACTGGCCATAGATATATAACATACATAGTGGCTGTGTATTTATAGTCCTAAAAATGCTGTTTGCAAAACTGTGGATGTTCAGTTGGGTGTGATATACGTATATATATTTAGACACACATATCTACCTCTCTAGGATGCGTGTGCCTGCATACTGCACTGGGCTGAGAAGTCTTCTTTTTTTCTTGTCCTGAATACATCACGTTTAAACGATAAAAAGAGGATTCCAAATGAAGTCCATGTGCCCGTAGAGCTTCTTCTCTAATGCACAAGCCTATTTCAAGGACATATAGAAACATCAGCTGAGTGAACAGGTGTTGCTTGGTTGGACACAGAACACAAATCCATACTCATAAAGGCTGGGTGGGTTTTTTTCTCTTAGAGCAAATAAACCCTGCTCTGTGTACCAATGTACGAACAGAGCAAAAATTGCAACCGACCCCTTTGATGGCTCTCGATGTTTCCCAACCTCTACCCCAGCTCCAGAGAGCACAAGACAAGCTCAGCAACCTGTATGGCTTAAAACTGGGGGAGCTGAAGGTGGGGAAGGGATGGTCCCCACAGGGCATGCTACAGCAGTGTGTGTCTCTGTGATATGGTCCCCCTGCTTGCAGACCATCAGGATCCAGAGCTCATCCTCCCTAGAGGACCATGCCCATGCCCCAGGTCTTGCCCACAATGCTGGCACCACTCATCTCAGATCTCCTGAGAAAGAGCACGGAAAGCCCATTCCCTGCTCACACCTCTCCATCTCTGTAGAAGACACTTGCTGGACAAGCAGCAGGATACCCACATTTAAAACATGAGCTTGCTTCTGTGGGGAAGTCGCATATAATTATGGAAACGTTCCCAAAGCTGACGTCCTAAGCTCCCATGTCTTTCATTGGCATTGAGGTCTGCAAGATCAAGCCCTGTATGTACCCTGTCCTGGTATTCTGCAGGTGTTATGAGTGTTATTTAGCACAATCCTCTCCTCTTTGGGGTTTCCCTCTGCAGCTGTTTCATCTTTAGAAACAAAGCAGCAATGCAGACCCTGTAATGGAGCTGCTCTGTGCCCACCATGGCTTTACCTTGGACAACACCAAAGCTGTTGAACAGAAAGGAAGATGAAAATACATTAGTTCCTTCTTCGAAGCTTTCCCCAGCACATCTCAGCACTCTGCTTTGTGGTCCCAGCCCTCCTCGCCTCCTCCCTGTTCTGAGCAGTGACACTTTGCACCAGGGCACATCCCCCTAAGGTCGTGGTGCCCGGGAGAGACAGGACACAGAGCAGGGCAGCAACAGCTCCACGTCATCAGCACAACAGTTCCCATCTCCTCCTCCATGCTCAGGCACATGGAGGGCTCCAGCGTCGGTGACCCTCAAGGAGATGCCAGGCTGTGGCTCAGGAGTGTGGCCAGGTGGCTTGGGGAGCTGCTCCCATCACACTGGTGAAATCTCTGATGGAGCCCAGCCTGCTGCTCTCCTAGGGGCTTCACAGGCTTTGGAGACCAGCTTAATTAAAACAAAGCCCTTATCAGTGCCCCACACAACAGCCCCTTCTGCTTCACCAGTGTAAATTTGGCCACAGCAAGGCTGTAGATGACACTGAAATGAAGTGGTGGTAAACACAGGCCAGAGCCAAGCTGCAGCCAGCACGGCAGGAGATAAGAGCCGCGTGGGGGATGCAGGCTCTGGCAGACAGGCTGGTCCAGGAAAGTGCTGGTGACTTGCAAAGGGAGGAGGCAAGGCCACAAAGTTAAAACAAGGACTATGGGACTAGATGGATGCTCCTGTCATTTTAGTGCAGATTTGGATCTGCTCCATCATGAGACATCTGGGCCCAAGAGATGCCTGTTCCCGGCCAGCAAACTCAAAACAAGCCCGTGGCTCCCTGAGCATCTTGAGCTAACTACTGCCAAGCCATGCTGCACTGCAGCTCACCCATAGCTGGGCTTTCAACAGGCTGCTGGCCAGCAACCACCAGCCCAGAACTGGAGGAGTTCAAACCCAGTTTGTTGGGACCATGCAGTTTCCCTAGAGAACACCTATCATGGCAAATCCCTCCAGGATGGGAGCAGGGTTGTGCTTAGTTCTCAGATGCCAGTCGGACTTCAGCATGGGGCTGCAGCCTCAACAAACCCCAGGCAGGACTTCAGGCTCTCGGTGAAGCTCTCGTGATCACAAACTCTGGCATTTCTGGGCTTTGAGGTACCTACCAGAGGTAAATGGCACTCAGGCTTTGAACTTTGTCAGAGTCAAAACACATCTCAGCTCTGACGTGGCCATTTGAGTTAACTTCTGGGGTTTTTGCCATGTAAATCTAAATGTGTTTTCCTGTGGCCAGACTTCCTGCAGCATTTGTGGAAAGGCGGCAGCCCATGGGAGATCTCCTGACACACAAAAGTCCCTGGCTAACAAAGTCACACCTAACCATGAGAGCTTGTAGCAAGGCTTTTCAGGTCCCCCCCTTTCCACAGAATAAGGACCATGGAGTTAGCAGTCCCTTGGGAAGAGCCCCATTCTTCCTTATTGCAGCCTTCCAATAGATTAAGGGCTTGTAAGAAAGATGGAGAGAGACGTTTTATCAAGGCTTGTAGTGACAGATAAAGGGGCAGTGGTTTTAAACAGAAAGAAAGTTTAGACTGGATATAAGGAAGAAAGTTTTTACGATGAAGGTGGTGAGACGCTGGTTGCCCAGACACCAACTCCCAGAGGAGTTGTGGATGCCCCATCATTGGGGCATGAAGGTTGGATGAACATTTGAGCAACCTCATCTAGCGCAAGATGTCCCTGGACTTAGACTAGATGATCCCCCAAAGTCCCTTCCAACCCAAACCACTCCACGATTCTTCATCCCACGTCTCCTGCAACTCTTCAGTCATCTCCGGGACCTGACGTCTCTCCAGGTCAACCTGGCCACCTAATCCAAACCTCTCCTTCGAGGCATGGGGCTGCGGTTGGGCTGTGGCAAGTGCCAGGAGGCAGCTCAGACACTATGGTTACAATACCTGAGGCCCTGGTGCATTGTCCGCAGCCCAGCACCGGGGCCTCAGGTATTGTCACACCCCTGGGTTAGTGGGGAGGCCTCAGCGCAGAGGGGGGATGAAGGCGAGATGGTTTTGGGGAGGCCGTAAGCCACAATTCGCCTAAAATTCATAATTAAATTCACACAGAAAGCGTCGCCTCGGATCCAACACGGGCTTCCCGCTCCACTAACCGGCGACATGCCCGCCCTCCCGCCGCCTTGCCGGGGCGGGCCTGGAAGGCCGCGCCCCTTAGCGTCACGGCGAAGGGCCGGGTCGGGCCGGGCCGGTGGGGCCGCGGCGGGGAGCGGGAGGAGGCGCCGAGGAGCCGGGCGATGGTGGGGATCCCGGGCGGCTGCCAGTGTAAGAGCCGCGGCGTGGGGGGGAGGCGTCGACCCGCTCGGCGCCGCTCGGAC